CTCTCTCTCTCTCTCTCTCTCTCTCTCTCTACTCTCTCTACTCTCTCTCTCTCTCTCTCTCTCTCTCTCTCTCTCTCTCTCTCTCTCTCTCTCTGTGTGTGTGTGTGTGTGTGTGTGTGTGTGTGTGTGTGTGTGTGTGTGTGTCGTATCGGTGTTTATCTGAAAGCAGAACGTGCACTGATTACGCGGCAACATCAAAAAGCCGATGGGTTTTTCAGTCGTACAAATATCGCGATCCGTGAAAATGAAAATGCGCTGTAGAGAGATAGCCGCGCACTACTATCTGATTATACGAGGTAATGACATATTTGCGGCACACGTCAATGGCAAGCCGTCCCGCGTCATTACGGAAATTGCCGTTACAGATTGATTGTGCCGCGCATAATACCGTTATTAAAAGCCAATTTTAACGATAATTGCTCTTCCATGTGAAAGTAACGTTCCCCTGACAGATTCATTTTTTCTCCTTTTATCAAATTATGACGATTCCATCTGCAGCTTGTAATAATGCGATAAGTTAGTCCGACCGACTTGTACACACCGATGAAAGATCGCCGCTTACATGCAATTTAGTTAAATCGCGTCAGCAAATTTACGTCGCTAATTGCATATAAAGAATGAGACACGTTTCGTGGATGGTAAATGTATTCGCTGAATTTCACTCGGAGATAAGCCTCGTCTACAAATTACACGCGATGAATCGCAGCGGGTATAAATCCTCGCGCCATCGAATCGCAGCGTGAAACGGAGCAATTTCCGTCTACATTATTAACTATTGTAACGACTTCTTTTTCCTGGATTTTCTTCTCCATACTCTATTTTGATCTCGGACCGTTGTGAGGAATACATTAATCGACAACGCCGTCTAAAAGCAACCAATTAATATATCGCCCGATAAATTCAAATTTAATTGGCTAACTATACTTTTTTTTCTCTTTCAACTCGAGATGACCTCAAATATGCCTAACGTGTAGGTTAATGAACGCATCCTCGAACGCATCCAGTTTTTTTAGTTGCAAGATTTAAATAACAAGAAAAAAATAAGTCAGATTATATTGCTGTAATTTATCTTGTTGTAAATTCGTTCTATGTATATATAAAATACGATTTTCCTTCGACTCATTAACCCTTAAATACTGAGGTTGGTCTGTGAGACCACGTGTAAAAAAAATAAAACAAAACGTTATATTTGTCTCATTTTCGATTTCAAGTGCTTCATTTGTTATGTATGTTGATTAATATTTGTTTGTTATGTATGTTGATTAATAAAACATAGATTTCTCCTGTGTTGAAAACTCCTGTATTCTTCTTCCAGTTTTTTTTAACCGATGTTCCAGGACCAAACCTCAGTAAAAGTGTCACTATTTTACTTCAGAGTTAATCTTATAGACAAAATTTGGATTTTTCGATATTATATCAGAAAAAAATTGGAAACAAAATTCTGTCGTGAGGAGATTTAGCTCGAAACTGGTTTACGAAACGTGTTTTTATAAAATTCCTGGCTTTTCTGGGGCTCAGGTATTGGAGCAATGCACAGTCGGCCGACAGAATTCCCCGGTGACATATGCGCACGAATTCGTCACCGGCAGTCCCTTGAAAGCATAATGAGCAACTTCGACTTCCGCGAATTGAAACTTTAAACGAGATTATCGGCCGTTTCTCGAGAAAGGGACGCGTGAATAATTTGACGCAGCCGGTACCCAAGCCTGCGAAGACGCACGGATTCCTAAGCGATCGAGGGGAGCGATCCCGCACGAGGATCCCGACGTCCGAGAGAAGATTTCGTCGACGGGATTCCAAACTAATTCGCGGCAACACCACGTGCTAATCCGTCTTAAGTTAATACTGGAGGAGCAATAATCGCCCGGCACGCCTAGTACGACGAATCGATCAATCTGCATCCGGCAACGGCGGCCGCGTTACACAGCGCTAGGTATTTCGTTCAGGTCTGACAGAAGAAATTTGTGTAATATGTACTTAACGTCATAGCTAAAATAAGTTGACAAACCCCTGAGAATATAATGAATTTAAAGATAATAATTTTATTAATTTTATAATATTAAACCAATTTCTTATTTCAATTGAGTCAACCACTACGACATGTATTAATATCGCAATAATAGTGAGAGCAAAAATGAATTCATTTTGGATTACTCCACGTTTCGACAAATTTTCGCCTACTCTCATTCTTCCTCTTTGTCTTATTTACCATAATCAATTTAAAAATTAAAAAGTCAATAAGTCCTTAAAATCCTATCCGATCGTGATAACGTCTAATGATTTATTTTCAGTTGACCGTATCAGCCAACATATATATTCATTTATAAAAAATTTCAGTTCAACGTATTTTATAAGGTAACTGCTATGTTAGAAATAACAGAGGACTCACCAGTGGCGAATAGAACGCGGAGCTATCCATGCCGATGCTGGGGTAAGGTCCCTGGTCCGTGGTCGAGGGTGTCGGCGTGGGGTAGGAGGAATAGGAAGTCGCGGTGGGTAGCCTAGGATAAGCGCCCAACGCGAATCTCGCGGCGTTGTCGTACTGGCAGCTGCATACCGTTTGTCCCGTTACAGGATCCGTCATCATGGGTCTGCCATTCTCGCAACAACCGGGCCCAGTGGCGGCACCACCCACAGGGGTGGTGGCCCCGCCGGTGCCCGCGGGCCCGACCCCCGTCGTCGTTGTCGCCGTCGACGAAGGCGACAGGGCACCTGGGCTCAGCGCACCCCCCGACATCGCCGGCGACGTCGCCGTCGTCGGCTGACCGCCACTCACGAGGAGCTGAAAAACAAAAAGAAAAGGAAAGCGCGTCATTAGCATAGTATAATTGCACGCATACGCGATGCGAGGAGGCTCCATACATTTCCTTGTAAAATTAGAAATTAGTTTTTCTAATTTGTTTCGAGCTGACTTTGATATTTCCGTAGTCGTAGAAGCTTTCCCTTCCACCCAGATTCATTTAATATTCTATTCATTTTCAGTATAGATACATATAAATAACGCGTAAAATAGCCGCTTGTAAGCACATATGCATGACGTGTCGTGATAAGAACATACATATGTACTACATGTGTACATACGACTAGAAATGGAAAAGATTTATTTTTTCTAGTGCGTCCCGATGCTTTTTTAGCCAGCTTACATCGCGTCGACTTCACAAAATCCAATATTCAAACAAACATCGATAATGGTACTCTTCTTTTGACAAAGTAGATGACGAGAAAAAACTTTTGCCTAAGCTCCTACGACTTCTTCCTTCTTTTGCGGGAATTCTATAAGAATCAGTTTCACGATAATCATTCTTATCTTTGCCAGAAGATACAAAAATATATTACGCAAAAAAAGATATGTAAGATATAGACTTTATGACGCGTATTCAGTTTTATCGAAGCAATCTCAGCGCATAACGGAGAGCGATTATTCGTCCCATGATTAATAGCTCCGTAAAGCTCGTATAAACAGAAGGACGTCACTCTCACGTGCGTGCTCGCGCGCGGGGGAATCGCGCCGTGGTTGCCTCACGCTAAATTAGCCCATTGTAAATGAGGACGGAATGAATCCCCGGTAATTAATATGGTAGGGGCGCGGAGTTATTTCGAGAGGATGGGAGGCTTCGAGAGCCGCGACGAGTCGGGTTGTATATCTGCGTTGATAAAGCCTTCTCTCCGACTCCCGCATTCCGTTACACTCACGGAAGAGAGAAAGAGCCCGGAAAACGATTCTCTCTCTCTCTCTCTCCCTCTCCCTCATACGTATATTCCTTTCTATTCGTAGACCGTGTCAAAATCCACGAAAACGCCCACGGAGCGTTGTGGCGCGCGCGTGACGAATAGGATCGACGAGAACTTTATTCCCGCAAACGATTCTCCTTCGCGTTTTAGCGTTTCGCCTCTGTCGTGAATTATGAAAAGCCCGCGCGGCGCCGCTTATCAATCTCAACGTCAGCCTGTTTACAAAAATACGGCGACTCGCCGCGGCGAAGTTTCTATACGTGTGCCGCTGTGAGAGCCTCCGTCGTTTCTCGCACGACAAAGCACGAAGCTGTCTCTCGGTCGTTAAGGCAATTACCGCAAGGACGATTCACTTCGATTTCCTGTTTACTCGAAGATTTGACTATTAATACGCTTTTTCGCTTTTACAATATGGTTCGTTGGGCAGTTGTACGGACTTGTCCTCTTCTTCTTTTTTTTTTTTTTTTCCTTTTATTTTTTTCTTATATACGAATATACGAAGAATTTTCAAAGACGTGGAAAAATATAACACACATCCAACTACCTTTGCCCCGACTGTTTTTTGCCTCGAATTACGTGGTTTCAATGATTTGCATAATTATCTCGATCTACAATGTACCATCTGCATAACAATCTCCGTGAGAAAATTCGTGGAGTCGCTTCCGCGTAACATCGAGCCATTTCTGGCTCGCGCTGTTTACAATCTCTCGTGCTTATCGATTTTCCGCGAGCGTGCGTCAATACGCGCGCGTATTTTCACAAGAAATATCACGGGAACTCGCGCGGTTGCAAAAATAGATGGACGAAGGGACGTGGCGCGTCTCGTCGCGTCGCGTCGCGGGATCCGCATCGAAAGAACGAGGTAAACCCAACTTTCGTGAACAAAGAACCCCGCGCACTCTCGTCGTAGTGGTTATAGCGTAACGATGGTTGTGTGGCGTGTGGTGGCGGATCTCGAGGACGACGTGTGCTACGCGCGCGCGTGCGTGCACGTGTGTCCCCGTTCACGCACAACAACACGCGAACACGTGTGTGCGCGTATACGTATGCGCGCCCGTGGCCTCCCTTCCTCCCGCCCCCGTCACCCTCCCCCCGATCCTCTCGACCCGCCACTCTATCCCGCGCTCTTTTTCTCCTCGTCTCTAACGAAACGTTCCGGGCACCTCCAGCGTGTCTGGAGCCATTCACGCCCTGCTGGGTTTCCCACCGGAACCTTTTAAGAGCCCACTTCCACCCCCCCCCCGCCGCAGCCGCCGGCGCGAAAACCCCCTTCGGATCTCGTGGTGCAGGGAAGAGTCGCCGTGATATGGGTCCTATCCCCCTCCGCCATCGCCTCTCGTGCTCCACCTTGTCGCCGATCGTTCTCGCGACGCGCTCGTTGGTGAAGCAACCCCTCGAATAACTGAACATATCGGACTCTGAGCGAATCCTAACTCGAGCGTCGTAAGAATTTTCTCTTCGGGTACAGCGTACGTCTGACGTATCCTGACTTTTTCTTTTTCTTCGAACACATTTAGCTCGGGCGACGAGAGACATTAAATAATT